TTATAGACTGAAAAATGAGCCTCTTGATAAATCTTTATTTGCAAACTTCAGTCTTATGTCTGCCCACCTCATAGGTCTTTCAAGAAACAAGTCTCTGCTGTAAACTGAAAAATAATATAGGTTTATAAAAGCAGTTTGCATTGATGTTAAATTAAGGTTTGCATTTAGAAATTTCTTTTATTAATTGGCTCTGCTAATATACAATGAGTCATATTTAGCCACAGTACCACTGGGGCCATCACAGAACAAACACATCTGTCACTGATAACCAACAGTGTGAAATCATGATGTTTATGGAGCATGAAACAACTATTCTTGGATTCCCCAAGAGCACTGTTGATGGTGCTGTACAGGCCATTGCTTTTACAGTGTATTATTATTGGACAAGAATATAAAGGACTGGTCTACATCCTTAATTTTTATTATATAAGTACATAAGAACAGTCATACTGGGTCAGACCAAAGTATTTTGAAATACTGTTGAAATATGCTGTCTTTCAACAGTGGTCAATGCTAGGTGTCCCAGTGAGAATGAGCAGAAAAGGTAATCATAAATGATTCAACCCCTGTCACCAATTCCCAGATTCTGGTAAAAAGAGGCTGGAGATACCATCACTGTCCATCCTGGATAATAGCCATTGATATACCTATCCTCAATAAAAGTCAGGTTCAAACGTTTCAAAATAATCTAAGATTTAAACATACAATCCCTTTAATTTTGACTGAGAGTCTTGTAATATGAATTAGAATCACCCTTTTGCAGCTTTGACATAATGTTTTAGACATCAATATTACTTATATCAAATTGTTTTAATGTCGAACGAAAACATCACAAAAACCAATATGAATGTGAACATGCTGCCTATAATGCAAACAAAACACCCAGAAAGCACACGCACCTATATTGATGAAAAATGAAATAAATATCTAGGTAAGCCAGGAAGCTGCACCGAGCGATTACTATAGTAAAGAAGCCCTTTAAAATGCAAGGAAGAGATCTATCATGTAACTTTCTGGAAAACGGAAAAAAAATCATTCTTGGAACTGAATCCTGATTAAAATCAAGGAATGATTAAAAATAATGGAAGAGTCATCCAATTCCCATAGTTGGCTTTGAAAAATATCAACCTAGATTACTATACTATAATTCAAAAGTAGCAGCACTAAATTCCAACGTTATTTTATTTCTGTTTTTTCTTTAGCCTGGAAAGGTTGAGAGAAAATGAACTAGACAGATAACTGTACCCCTTTCAAAAGTCTGATTTGGCTTTGTGTATCCCCAAATTACACCTGACTAGAAAACTCTGTGCTTAAATACTAGACCTACAAATACAAAAGTGTCACAGCACAGTCACTGAAAAATTGCTTACTTCCCCACTTTTACCATATAGCTTTATAAAATCAATAAGAAAATAAATATTGTATTTACACTTTTGAGTATAGTATATAGCACAATATAAATAAGTCATTCGTATGCAATTTTAATTTTTACTGACTTTGCTGGTGATTTTTATGTAGCCTGTTTTAAAACAAGGAAGGTCTCTGCACACCTCCAGGGTATACATACCCCTGGTTGGGAACCAATGATCTAGTTTATTACTTACATCATCCTTCTTCCTCCTTTGGTTCTATTATCATACTATTTCTCTCTCCTGTAAATATGGTGTCTCTGCCAGGCTAGACTCTTTTATCCTTTTGCACCACTACCCTTTTCTGAGCCTTCCAACTTCCTGCCTTATCTGTTCAAAACTTGATCTTGTGAGTATCCTTGCATCCATGAGGCACTGGCTCCCTGCAGGCTAGGGATCTATACAGGTTCACTGAGTTGCAGGATTGAGGCCTTTGATACCAATATGACATGTCCTTTACATATATTTGCTGCTTTCAGCTCCTTCCTTCTTTCGCATTCACTTGCTGAGGAGCCCAGCTCTGCCAAATGATTGACTACAGGTACCACATGGCTTTCAGATGCCATCGGCATGGTTTAAGTCTGGATAAAGCAGAACACAAAGCTACTTTTTCCATTACACTTCTCTGAAGTTTAAATGCAGGTTTTGTTTTTGTTTTGTATTCTGGTGATTGTAGATTTGACCAGTGTTACTTTCTCTTCTGCCAGACCTTTTCCCACTACTGGTGCTTCAACTACCTGTGCCAGATTTATTTTGTATTAAGAAACTAATAATACAAATCCACTCTTGGTGCTGCATGACAGATCTCCACTTGACTCTAGAATGTCTTTCTATTTTTTTTTATCTAGATCTGTAGTCTGAACTCATTACCATAGAATATGAGCACTTGGTATCTGATTTTATTATATATTGGAAGAACAGTGTATCAGACTAATATGGACTGCCTCTGGATGTGAAAGGAGGGTTTTGCCCAAAGGAAGAACCTGTTTACTGCTCTCACATTTAGGTTGTCCCTATTAAATAGAACAGACATGCTGGTCAGGCTGTGAAACAGTGCCTGGAAAACAGCATCTGTGCCATGAGTTTGACATTTAGAAACAACTTTTTGATTTTTGTGTGCTGTACACCAGTCACGTGTCTACACTAGAAAAGTATTTCAAAATTGCTAAATTCAACTTAACTCCTGATTTAACAAATTCAAGTTAGCATGTCCACACTACAGGGTAGCCTCAAAATTAGTGTGAACCAGGCTTTGTTTATGTGGATGCACTACCTCGGACTTAGAACCCCAAGAAGCACTAGGGTGTAATTATGTTGAAAGAGTGGTATCAGAACACTATTTCAGAATTAGCGTTACTCCTGATGAAAAGCAGAAGTACAGAGTTTGAATTCCATGGCTCATTTCAAAATAACAGGCTTGGTATTGTGGACGCTCCACTTATAAATTTGACCGGAGGCTGAGGGGGGATTATTGTGACATAAAGTCCTAGTGTAGACCAGGGCTGAGAGGGGTAAGTAGGCCATCTAAGCTACAATGTTAACATTTCTTATAGTACGACTGCACTCTTTTTTTTTCTAAACTTTGTATATGTATGTACTACATGTAATGGCAAGCCACATTTGGAATATCATGGAATATTGGGGGTGGTGGGCAGCAGGTTGGCAAATGTATGTACAAAGGTCTTGTTCAGCTACATCCCTGGAAGGAGTATTCAGGAGAATTGTCTGTTTGTAAAAACAAACTGGGAGCCTTAAGCGGCCTCAAACACAGTTGTTCAGCTACAAAACCAAACTGGTAAACTGTTTAGAATAGGTGGGTAATATCAGGCAAAGAAAGGGTAGTGACTAGTCTTAAGGAGGTTTTCTGAGCTGTGGAGAGAGGGAAGAGAATGAAATGCCAGCATAAGAGCTAAATAAAACATAAGGCGAGGGGGAAATTGTGAGCAGAAAATAAAATGACTATTTTCTCTTCATAACTTACTTCAGCATTACTGAAGGAAGAACTATGCTATGATATGGCAAGATATTTCAACTATTTAAAAAATTAGCAATTGTTCTTTATTTAAAGATACCTATTACCTAATCAGACTGGGTAGCTGTGCAGATTAATGCATACCTGTGGTGCCATGGTGGTATCAAGGGACAGTGTGCATTAATCAAGCATTACTGCACAGTATGCTCTGTCTTATTAGCTTAATTGAAAAATGTTTTGTTCCCCTAGCGTTTCTCTTTTATTGCTTCTCTGTCTTTAGTAGGAGCTGTGCTAAAGATGGCTAGGAGCTTTAAAAAACACCCAGCAAAGGTTTTTTGTTTTTAATTAAATGACAAAATCTTTCCTCATTTCCAGTTTTCAGTACAGGATGAATCTTAGGGTTTGTAGGAGAAAACAGCAGCCATATGCTCATCTTGAGGTACTGCCAGGAGTCTGCCAACACACAGTTCAATTACTGCCTTATTAAAAAAAGAACAAGTTTGATCTAAAGCCAGTGTCAAGTGGCTCGGAGATTCACGGCCGAGAGGCCTCGAAGCAATCTAGATGCCTGGCTCCACCAGATGCTGCCCGCTGGTCGCTGTCCATCCCAGCCATGCTGAAATGTGACCTATTTCGACTGCATGGGAGCCAACCGGCACTAGGCACAGAATCTATAGTACTGTACTCTGAGCGCCTTCCCTGGCTCAAGCTGTTTTAACTGCATGTTTACTTCCAAGGTCTGTGGAGGCTCTTTCTTCCTCCCGCCGAGGTGGAAAAAGCGTGTGCTAATGGGGGTAGGGGATTAAAAAAAACCATTCGGTTCTGAACGCTGTGTCCTGTGCTAAATATCATTCGTAGCAAGGCATAATTAAGTATGTGCTGCTTTCCATGTGTTTCCGGAAATTAACGTTTGACTTTGAAAAATTATTATTCCAAGCGCTAACATCAAATAGGTAGGTAGTGTTCCTAACTTATTGTCATCTCAACCCTGCAACGAGCTCTTCTCGGTTAAACAGGGAACTAAAGCGAACCGGTTTCGCGTGTATCGTCTTCGCCGCAAGCTGCGAGCCCAGGCTAGGCAATGTTCCTTTGCACATCACACGCACCGTCATTTATGCGCTCACGCCTGCTCCGACTGCCGTGGTGTTTCAAACCTTTAATTTTAAAATCCCCGGGAGCCAGGAGGTGAGCTCAAGTTGGCGCAGTAAAGAACGGCCGCGGCTTCACTACGGTAGCGGCTTCAGCCGAGGTCAGTGCTGGCCGGCTAGTTTGGACGGGGTCTGTTTACAAGCGCTCTGCTGTGGCAGTGCGTTTCACCGGGGCGGCAAGAGTCGGGCTGCAGCAGGGGCGGATTAGGGCCGGCTGCAGGGTGAGCCCCCATCTCCAGAAAGGGGCGCGCGAAGCCCTTGGCACTAAAGGGCACGAGCCTGTTCTGGCGCCGGGCGGGCCGCTAGCGCCCTGCGCTTCATGGAGCCCTGGGTCCCTGGCAGCGCGCAGGGAAGCTACTCCTGGCGAGAGTGGGCGGGAGGGACTCGGCTCGGAGCCGAGGCTGGGTTGGGATTTTTTTTTCCTCCTCTGGTTTGAATGTGCGTCTGTCCCTCCGGTTTATTTTAGCAACCCCCGCCCCTCCCCCGCTTGGGAATAACCCGCGCGCTCGGGGGCCAGCTGCACTTGACGTCAGGCCGGCTTTCGTAGTTTTGACGTGTAAACACTCGGTGCCAGCCCGGCGCGGGAGGCTTTGGGCTCCGTTCAGCCCTGAGCCAGAGCCGCGGCGCGCTGGCTGGGAGACGCTGCGCCCTGCCCGCCTAGCAACCAAAGGGCTCCGCCGCTGCCTTGCCCCTGCCCGCCGCTTGTTTGCCTGCTCCCGCCTCCCTCGCCGGGCCATGGCCGGGACCCGCCGGGCTGGGCGCCCTGTAGCCCTGGCGCTGCTCTGCGCCTGCTGCGCCGCCAGCCTGGCCGGCGCGGAGAAGCAGTTCGTCAATGAATGGGCGGCGGAGATCCCGGGCGGGCCGGCCGCGGCCAAGGCCATCGCGGAGGAGCTGGAGTACGAGCTGCTGGGGCAGGGAACTTCGGGCGCCGGTCCGCTAGCGGGTTTGCCGGGGCCCGATCCCGCCTCCCCGCGTGCCCAGGCGAGAAGTACCTGGCTCCCCCGCCCCAGCCCGGGCTGCCTTGAAACTCGCGCCCCGCGGGGAGTTGTAGCCCCGCCTGCGCCAGGGAGGCTGGTTCAATATGGCAGCAGCAGCAGCAGCTTCCCTGAGCGGCCGCGGCCAGCGGCTTCCAGCCCTGGGCCATCTCCGCGCCAGGCACGGCCGGCGGGTGCCTGCAATGGCAGCGGCGAGCCCCGACGCCTGGTTAACTTCGCTTTACCCGGGAGTGGGAGCCCGAGCCCCGCCCACCCTGGGATGTCCTGGGCTCTCTGTCCCTGGCTCAGGTTTTGGCAAACTCCTCGCAGTCTCGGCGCTGGCGCGGGGTGGCAGCGCTCCCCTCGCCGGGCAGGGCTTGCTGGGGATCGGTGGGCTCTTCCCAGCAGCGGGCTGGCTCCTCGTGCTGCCGGGATGTCAGCGTTGTCAGGGATGAGTAACTACCTTGACGTAACAGCATCCTTGCTGCTCCTCTTCTGGCGCTCCAGCCCCTCGGGTCGTGCTGCTCCAGCCCGTGAGATTGGCAGCGTTAGGAACCAAACCACACTGGGAGGATTAAAACAACAACAACAAGCCAAATCTGTATCTGAATAACACAAGTAGGAGAGATGATTCCGAAAATAGAGAGTCCAGGGATCCAAGACTAAAATCCATCTCTCCTGTTCAAGTCTCCCATTTGCTAGCACCACGCTGCTTTAGTGTCTCCTCCTCTGGTTGCTTAGTCAAAGACCTTTTCCACCAAAGAGATTTATCCTTTTCTAAAACAAACTGTAGTATGTGAAATTATTATTTTGGCCTGGACCTGGTTGCTTTGAGGGCAATTACATAACTGCCATTGACTTTAGGAGATGGATGGATGGATATGGTTATTACTCCCAATAAGATATGTCTTCTGAAATCATAGATTTCATAGCTGTAAACAATATTAAAATAGGGTGGAGAATCACATCGACCCACTTTGCATGCACAGGGAGCTCACATTCACATACTTGCCCCACATTTGTGTATTCCAAGAAAATATACATTCCCTGATTCAGTCCCCTCAACACTACATGTGCCATGGTCAGAAATAAACTAGTGTAAATCAAAGACTAACTGCTTTACCTTGAATTTTAGCTTAGATTGTGCCCCTTCTTTTCCCAATATTACACCAAACAGCATACAATTTTAGGAGTAAAACTACTTTATCTTGGGCAGTATTTTATTTTAAAATAAAAATATTATAAGGTATAAATTTATTCTAGTTTCACTTATTTGAAGATGGACTCTAATTCTGACAGGCTATGATTGTTGATACTTGTTTTCAATGAGGAAGTATCTGGTAAAATATTCCTTTGTCTTATAGATTGGATCACTTGAAAATCACTATCTATTCAGACACAGAAGCCATCCAAGAAGGTCTCGAAGAAGTGCCATTCATATCACTAAGCGACTTTCTGATGATCATCGAGTAAGTGTAGTATTTACCCTTTCTGATGTACAGTATCTATGTTGTCAGCTTATTCCTTGATTTGTAATGTGGTCACAGACACATTTTACAACTCTTAAATCTTCCTGCCATAGTCATGTTGATTAATAACATTATTCTATGAACAGACCCATTGACTTTAAGGAGTAAGGCACTAGTCTGTAATCTGGCTGTAAACTGCTATGTATTTTTCTGCTAATTGCTCTTTTATAATTTCAAACCTGCAATGGGTCTGGATTGAATGCATAGTTGTGGGTGGTGAAAATACAGAGAATTCAGGGTTTGATTGAAAGTCTGTTGAAGTAAATGGTAGTTTCTTTCCATAGACTAATATCTAAAGAGGGCCCACTATAGGGTCCACTCTCGCAGTCTTTGGGCACTGAAAACTCTTACCAAAATCAGACAGCAGAAACAGTCAAGAGGATTTTTGACCCTGTAGGGTCCTAGTTATACTGGTGAATCAGACACTCCATTCATCTAATTTTGTTTACTAGGTGGTAGCTGATTTTTAAACATATTAGGTAACTGATTAGTTTTTCAGTAACTGAAAGCCCAGTGTTAAAGCTAGAAAATTTCATAAAAGTTAAAACTACTATATAGTGGAACAGCAACAATCTAAATCTAATCTTATTATAATATTTAGAAATCCAGTTATGAAAAAATATTTAATCCCTCAAGAACAAAAATATTTGAGTGATCAGTTACTAAAAAAAAAATTAGACTGAGCTTCTGTTAGGAGGCAACACTGAACATGAAAAGGTAGTTAGAGATGAGAAAAACAAGGTTAGGATATACTTTGTTCTGCTTGCTCTGTTTCAAAGCCACACTTTCCCATTGTCTTATAGATTGGATCACTTGAAAATCTCTCTCTCTCTCTCTCTCTCTCTCTCTCTAATCAAAAGAAACACTAACAATAATGGAGATGGGTTCAAGATTTGTGAACATTTTAAATCTGAAGACAATTTACATCAAGCATTTGGGTTTGACTTATTGCAAATAAGGATTGCATTTCTAAATTCACATTCAGATCTCGTTTCACATTTTCAACACCTCCATAGTACCAAGTTGATCAAATCCAGAGTTTAGGTTCAGTATTCTCCATTTCATCCAGTTACATTTCATTTATCCATTACTGGGATGGGAGAAGAAATATCACCTTTTTTATAGTATATTTCTTTCCTATAACACAAAGACTGGGGGCAATTATGTGACTGACTTTGATAATCATTATTGCATATTTATTTATTAAAGTGCAGAATAGAGTGCTTTGAAATGCCGCAGGTGACTTTTGCAAAATCATCTCCAATTTGCCTTTTATTTATCATCTAATATTCAAATAAGCTATATGAGTGAGTGAGATGTAATTATGTAAGTATGCAAACACATGTCAATGCTGCAATTCTATAGAGTTCTACATAGACATCTTTTCTAAAAATCTATACCTGTTCAAGAGCAGCTTTCTTTAAAATAATTAAATACATTTGTAAAAGTATAGTGGCCAGAATCCTGCCTTTAGTTATGCTTGTGGCATTCCATTATCTCTAACAGAGCAGTGTAGATGTAGATTAGAGCAACTTTTGGCCTATAGCATTGGGAATATTTGTTTATCTAAATGTAATAAGCAAGGTCCTGAAACTATGCCTATAAACTACCTAGTGTTAAAGTAAAATATGTAATGCTTTTAACTGTATTTAAAATGTGTAATTATCTTCTTCCAATAGTCAGACTAGTTTTAAAATCCATTTTCTATCAACAACATTACAGAAAATCAAGGGATAATTTTAATTATTCTATATAGTTAACTTCCAGGAGCAAAAAGCAAGTCTGTATCAGACACCAGCTATTGGCCAGATTCTGATACCCTTAGTCATGTTGAGGAGCATCTTACTTCCATGAATAGTTCCCTAAATGAAATAAATGCCAATATTTGCAAAATATGTTTCCACTCATCCTTAATGAGTGGACACTGACATGCTATTTATCAGAAGAATCTGTCTTTGTTAAAACAGAACTGAATTTTCCTGAAGGAATAATTCATTCTAAGAGACAAAATGAGAAATCTTTTGAAAATACCATCAAATAAACTAGGCATAGTGAGGTGTATCTATAATTGGTATGCAATTACATACATAGATACATCCGCAAACATACTTGAACATATCCATTTTAATATAACTCCACTAACTTTAATAGTCACACTAGTGTTGATTTGGTGTACTATTCACTGCTTACTAATAATTCATGCAATGAAGTGGAATGTTATCATAAGTGGCATTTGGAAAGAAGCTTTGAGGGACAGACGGACTATGAGTAGCAAACATTGTTGAGACTGAGACAAGAATGGCTCTTTTTCCCACTCTAAAAAGTAATGGTTCCTGTTCTTTCTAGTTCATACAGAGAGATATTAAACTGGAGGCTGGAGAATGAAACAAATATTTATATTTGTTTGAATTTGGTTTGAATCACTACTGCAGATTAGACAATCTTCTAATAGTTACATTCTTTCAACAAAAATGTGCATTATAGGGCATTTGCGGATAAAATATTTTCACTCTAGCTGTACTTGAAATTATTTTATATTCTCATGGTTTCACTGAATTGCCCTTCTTCTTAAGATACACTTTGCTGCAAAATGTGTTATCTGCATTAATGAACCCTCTACTTTTCCCTCTGGATACCAAGCTTATGTTTTACAATGAATACTCTCAAAACCAATGAATCTCTGTGGGTTTATATGCTATTATTGTTGATAAAATACTTGTAGGTGTCATGGGCAGAGCAACAGTATGAGAAAAAACGAACTAAGCGTTTAGCCTTCAGAGACTCAGCAGAAAACTTTTTCAACGATCCTATGTGGAATCAGCAGTGGTACCTGGTAAGAGTTTATTTTTATATGGTATTAGCGATGATAAACTTTATTTATACTAATCATTTGTGCTATTTTGATGTCAAAGAGAGTGCACAGAAAGGAGCCAACTGTAGCTACTTCCATATCTGTAGCCCATGACAATGATGGGTCTCAGCATTAGATATCATCAAGCAACATTCTTAAAAAGAAATACACCCACAGTTCTCTCACACAAAGACTATGTCATCCTAATCAAGTTTCTGATCACTGGAATTATGTGATACATTAATAAGCCGTTAAACTGTTCGCAATGCTTATGATAACATGAATTTTAGCCTTGCCAGATAACACCAATATCTCCAGTCCTACCTCTTTGGTTGGCAGCGAATTTCTGTGTTGGAGTCAAGAATGCATACTGCATATGTCAACAGAGAATAAAGCTTCCAGTGTGCCAGGTAATGAGCAGCCAGCCCAAACATCCATTGACTTTGACTGGAGCTGAAGGTGTTCCGCATCTCGTAGGATTGAGTCATTAATGAAGAGGAGGTGGAGGATGAAGATTCCTATCCTACATATGTTTTTTGGCCTCTTGTGACAATCCAGCCACATCCAGAAGAACCACTGAGTTTTACGTTGCTCTGCTGCAGATCTGTTGGACAGTCACCATCATAGCTAGATTTAATTCTGTTGCCACATATAATGACACTCTGTATCTACTCATCCCTATACCTTCAGACCTCAATGGCTCCAAAAGAGGGAATGAGGCTAAGGTACTATCTAAAGCCTCAGGCAGGACTAATTCTAGAGGTAGGCAAGTGCCCTTTGCACCACCAGCTTTAAGGGGATGCTGCTTTGCTATGCTGCTGGACTTTTAAAATGTTTGCTCTGCTTTGACTAGACTGTTCCTCCCCACCCCAACTCAATACTGGTTGATCAGCTATAAGGATTTTTTAATTTGGGGTTTTTGTAGTGGAGGATAGTCAGAATCTTATACTTTCAGGAGCCCTTTCCCCTGAATTCTCTTTCCAGCTCATTTTCAATGGGGAGAATACAAATACAAGGCTGTGTAGCCTTACAGAAAAGGCAATAGACTGGAAATTAGAAGACATACTTTCTCTTCTTAGCACAGCCAGTAATTCACACTACAAGTCAAGGAATCTTTGCATCTCAGTTTGCCCACACAGGGATCATGATATTTACCCTTCCATACAAAGCACTTTGAAATCTGCAAATAAAATGCTGATTAAGGGTTAAATATTTTTTCCAAAGTACCTCCTTGTTCATGTAATGAATGGAAACCCCTCCTTCCCATACTCCAGGTTAGCCTCAGTTTCAACATAACAGTAATTATTTGATAGATACTACAATAAACCTTGTGACCTAGAATATCTCCTTGAACTGCAGCTGCTAAAAATAGGGCATTGTAATGCAAGAAATGTTGTTTCCACAATACATTTCATTATCTGGATCTCACTCTTCATTCAGCATTCTTCTGGAAACAAAGATCTAGAAAAAAATTAGAATTCCTATTTAATAATGTATTTATGTCCTGAGACACACTAAAACACACCGTGATTGAATCCATGCTTGTGTTTTCACAAGGTATTAAGTAAAGTTGTTATATACTAAAATATATATAATTTATAGTTAACATTAAAGATTAATTCTTAAATGGATTATTTTTCTTTTGTAAAGACACTTCTTTCAAAGGAAAGAGGGTTAGATAAGGGGTGGGGAACCTTTTTTGGGTTGGGAGTCACTGACCCACAGAGCCTTGAGGGGCCCAGACTAGTATTGTGTGTGCTCCAGCCCCACGAGAGGTGGGGGTGACTGGAGTGCTAGCACAGGCTCCCCAGTGCTGGGAGGGAGCCCTGGTCTTGGGGGCTGAATCCAGGCAAGCTGGCTTAGATTAATCAAGTTTCCAAGTGATTTTCCATTGAAGGTAGTAAATAGCAGATTGTTACTCAGCACAATCCTTCATAATCAGCCCATCATTTTAATTCCTCCCATTTCCTGATTGTTTTCCACTCCCTACCCTGGATATCACAGGAGGGATATAATTTAGAAAAAATACAACTCTTCATGTCCTGGGAGGCTGCGGTTTGGTTTTCAGTGGGTGAGAGAACAAACCTTTGCAGATTTGACCATTAACTCAAATATCCAAGGATCAGTCAGCATATTTTGCTCTTCAACCTCCCTAATACTCTTATAAGACACAGTATGTCCCTTTCATACCTAAGATATCTTTCCAGAGAATCCTGTGTTTTATGGCGAAAGGAATGAGGGAGGTTGGGTAGGCACAGGTAGGTTTGTCAGTATTCTAGCTATTTGAACAGGACAATCTTTGTGGATTTTTTATGAAACTTGAGTGGAATTTACAAATTTTGGTCATACTCAAACCAAGATTGATTTAAAGAACATTTGTAATACGGCGTTCACACAGCTTTGGACAGGTTAAAATTAATGTATAAGTGTTAAAACATGTATTGTTGTTTTTCCCTCCCCCCAGCAAGATACAAGGGTGACTCCATCTCTACCAAAACTGGATCTCCATGTTATTCCTGTTTGGCAAAAAGGGATTACAGGCAAAGGTGTGGTTATAACAGTGCTTGATGATGGCTTGGAGTGGAATCACACTGACATATATACTAACTATGTAAGTTTGTGCTTTATAATGCTGCAGAATAAATAAATCAGTTGTAGGTGTTTATATACAAAATTCTTCTTTGGCTCAAGACCAGCTCCCACATGACAGAGAAACTATAATACTCACCCCAAGTATAATTTGGACCCCAGCTAGTACCACTAGGTGTTGAATAGTAAATCCACCAAGAGATTGGGTTCTTCAGGGTGTTTTAGTCTGTGGGCATGTTTAGACACAATTGTTTAATGCTGAATTATTAAAACTCTTTTAGCCCTTTGTGGATTTTATATTCACAATATCATCAAAATGTGGAGCTGGAAGGGATCTTGAGAGGTTACCAAATTCAGCCCCTGGGCTGAAGCAGGACCATGTAAACCTAGACCGTCCCTTACTCATGTTTCTCCAATCTGTTCTTAAAACCCTCCCATGATGGGGATTCCATAACCTCCTTTGGAAGCCAGTTTCAGAATTTAACTACACAAAAGGTTGAATGTTCAAAATTGTTGTTTCAGAGATTTCTTAAAATACCAATTTTTCATATTGCTAATAATATGTTGAATTTAAAAAAGGTATTTGTGAAGATGTTATCAAAATAATTATCTTTTTTTTTACTGAAAACATTTTAAACAAAAACTTTCACCAATTTTTCTTGAAAAAATTGGTTTTGAAAAAAGCCACTTTTCATTTAACAAAAACTTGTCAGTCAAACCAGCTGTAGCTGTGAAGATTCCTTAATTAATGTTTGTAAAGTGACTTGATAAATAAACTATCCAATGCTCTTCTTCTAGACATTCCAATACCTTCCTTTGCAGGGTTCCCCATACCAGACTTCCAAAAGCTAAATCTTTAATAGTAAAACTCTTCACTTGTGCGTGCTAATCAATGCCTACTCTAGAAGATAAATTTAAATGTTATGTACTTTTATTTTATGAAGGTGAACTGTTCACCTAGACATTATGATGCTTAATGCTGAGGAGAAAGTATACATTAAAGCTGATGTCACATATACCTATGTATCTAATTATTCCATCACCTAGAATAGAATTCAGAAACTTTAGCACTTGTTTTAGAGGATATTATCGCATTGTAACTATAAAGTCTATTTTTTAATTTAGGATCCAGAGGCAAGTTATGATTTCAATGACAATGATCACGATCCCTTTCCCAGATATGATCCAACAAATGAAAACAAGTGAGTAGCCTCTCATTTTGTGAAGAAACAAAGTAATTAAGTATTATGCTGCACCTTAGAACAGGCAAATGCATAGATCTTCACTATTAACCTGAGAAATATTTGTACTCAAAAAGACTATTGAGTGTAAAAGGGGGAAAAAAACCATTATGGTATTTTTGTGCACATTATGTATGGACATTGAATAAGTTTCCATATCTAGATGAGGATTTCTTTTTCCAATTTAATTTCCCTGTTATGTCTTGAAGCTCTCTTTTTCATATGGTTCTATGTTTAAGGCACTAATAACATATGTGTAATCTCCAGGGAACGATCTTTTGGTGTTAGTGCTAAAGAATTATAGGGCATACAATCTGACTAAACAGACTTTGCCCTCAGTTATGCCTTTAATTCATGGCCTTGCACTGGGGGATGATGAGGAATTACATCTGCCCCATCAGAGGGCCTCTGGGAGAGACTGTGATTTGTTTGTTAGACACTAGGGAATATACACTTTGCACCATCCCTTGTGGAGGTGCCGCAGGTTCCCTCCTACATGCATGACCAATTATATTAGGGACATTTTGGAGCATTTTGTGGTAGGGAAGGAGAGACGAATCGTTCTGCATGACCTCACTACAATCCACCTCTCCTCTGCACAGTGGAACATCATAGTAGTTCTGCTGTGCGTAAGTCCTTCCATGATAGTTGAGGGAGAGACCTGGTCCACAGAAAAGAGAACAGACCTCTTTACGAGCTGTAGCACAGACCAGGTCAAGGATGTCACTATTTTATAATGATACAATGAGGAACTGACATTTTGGTTCCCCACTGTCTATCAGGCACAATGGTAGCATCCACATCATGAATCCATTGGTATTACAAAAATAGAGTAATCGGAATGGGAAGTTATCAGAGGATAAATGTTCTAAATGATATTGAAAATATCTCTGCTTTGCTATAGCATTCATATAGCAGTTGGAGGCCATTATCCTCTTATTCCAATGACATTATCTTTTACATCTACCTCCATTACCTCTAATCTTTATTAATATGTAAATGGATTCCACCCAGAAGCACTGAAGAATTTTGCTGCATATCAAAATGTAGTACTAGATAAAGTAACTCTGGGTAGTTAAGCTGTCTTGTTATGCTTTGAGGGATAGGAATCCTTCATGGCAAAAGATTTTTCATGGCAAAAGATCCTCCATGGCAAAAGATAAAAAATATCTTGTTAGAGGAATCATTTCACAAAGATGAAAACGTTTGTTTGTTTTAAATGTTACCAGTTGTATCCCAAAATAAATAAAATATCATAATTTTTGTTCAAAAGTGGCTTTTTTCATGATTATTTTAAGGGATTTAGCATCTTTTCGTTATTCCAAATTTGCCTCACTATTGCACTCCGTTATAGCAGACATGATACAACAGCTTGTGGTGTAGACTGTAACAAGATGATCTTTCTAGTGACTTTAAATGAGATTTGGATCAGGCACTTAGTGCCTCATCGGCTGCATCTAGACTACTTTCCTTTTCTGAAAGAGGAAATTCGAATGAGGAAAAAGGATAGGCAAATTAAGCGCTGATTAGCATGTTCACATGCTTCATTTGCAAATCGTCTTCTGATAGTCTTTTCAAAAGTTTTTTTTTTCGGAGGAAAAAACCCTCCCAGTCTAGATGCGGTTCTTTAAAAAAACCCCTTTTTCAAAAGAACGCTGTAAACCTCACTTTTTGAAGAAGGGTTCTTTTTTTTTCCTGAAAGAACCACGTCTAGATTGCTTTTTTTTTTTTTTTCGAAAAAAAACCTTTCGAAAAAGCAATCAGAAGAGAATATGCAAATGATGTGCGCAAACATGCTAATCAGAGCCTCATTTGCACTTCCTTTTTCTTCATTTACATTTCCTCTTTTGGAAGAAGAAAGCAGTCTAGACGCACCCGATATCCTGATCATCCATTGATTTTGAAATTATGATTACCAAAGTGTAAGTACAAAAAGGGTCTTATTTTTAAAACAGATGTATTTCCAAACTTATTTTAATATTTAAAGGTTCATATCTCAGTGATGAAAGAACACACCCATTCTAGCAGAGCAGTGACAAGTCTCTATGTAGGTTAAATAAATGCACTGAGTGATAGTATGATATAAGTGATCATTTACTTTATCCAGACACGGAACACGATGTGCAGGAGAAATTGCCATGCAGGCTAACAACAAGAAATGTGGTGTTGGTGTGGCATACAACTCCAGAGTTGGAGGTAAGAAACCAAACAATATTTTTCTTTAAAATGTCCTTTTTTCTGATCTGAATGGAAACAAAGTTGAGAGATTACTGAGTACGCTGAGTTGCAATCACCTTGAGCTGAGTGTGCTCAGCACATTTTAAGAGGCACTCTGCATCTTGCTATAGTACATTTTTTACCAGAAATAGTGTAAGTTGCTAATATTATCCCAAATCCAAAGTAGTTATCATTTTCTCAGGATTTGATACATAATATGATTGTTGGTAGCAACTAAATAAAAGGCTATATTCTTAAACAAAGGAATGGTGGGTTGGTATCTCATTTTGAACAAAACAAAACAAAACAAAAAAGACCCTGCAGAGTGAAAGAAGGAAAATCCAATTTCCTACTTACTCTTATTTAGAGTGTTTTGTTCCTGCATATACAGTTATATAGAAAGGTTGTGTCAGTCAAAGTATTCAAATTGCTCTGGTTTCCATTTCAGTTGCTTGTTTCTCCATTTCAATTACATGTTAATTTTGAAAACAGATAAAGGCTTGTTTATCTGTCAGTCAATACTACCCTTTTTTAGAAAACCATCTGAAAGTCTAGTTTATTACAGATCTATGAAATAGACTTGATCAAAATATCAGTTGCACGTGGTTATTTAGCCAAAAATTTGTACTTTTACAATTTAACTTTTTTTCCTTGAATCAAATGGGACAGCTGATCAGGGACTGACAACTTGTAACTGCTCTTCTCACCATTTAAGTCCTGTTTTCTCAGAGGGATTTAGAGTTGTCAGATGTCATTTTACTGTCCGCCTTTGCCATTTTGTTTTAGGCTTTCTCACACAGTTTAATTAAAATGTCTCACTCAAAAGATGACGGCACCAAGGATCAAATATTCAAAGCAGGGTGAAGTGGATAAACCTTCACAAATGTTGAACACTCACTGTACTGACATTTCCAAACACTTGCATTTACAAATAAGGTTACCTGTTTACATGCATTATTATGTAACTTGCAAATGTAGATAAATATCTTTACTGATAAGCTTCTCCAGAAACAAGTGCTCTTTTTATTTTTCAAATAATTAACATAATACATCTGGATGTTCTTATTATCCATATACATGTCCAATTCTGTTTTGAATCCCATTGCGTTCTTGCAGTCATTGAAATCATGTGGTGATGAGTTCCACAGCGTTATTGTGCATTGTTTGAGACATATTTTCTTGTATCAGTTTTTAATTTGTTATATTTCAATTTAATTTAGTATATACATACACTTCCCCTCCATTACTTTGTGTAGAAAAAGGAAATAAGGGTTATCCCATTTACATTTACACATAAATCACCACAGCACTGTTTCTCTGATACTGCATGGAAATCAAATGATTAAGAAGTTGTATTTTATGAAGGACTCAGCTGAGAGTTTCAATACTGAGAATGTGATGCTAAAATAACTGTCTGTTAGGCAGATATATGTATCTGTCTGAAATTCATTTTGCTTTTGCCTGTTTTTGAATTCACAATGCTGATGATGGGAAACAAGCATGTGGGAGAAAAGGGAAAGACAGGTGTTTGGACAAAAAATGACTCTATTTACTGGTGAAAACTAATATAGAGAAAAACAATTGCAATAATCATATCCATGATTTTATTTAGAAAACAAACAGAATTTCCATAGAGAATAAAATTGGAAGTGCAGTCTTGCTTGAATTGTTTTTCACTAGTGTGCTGAGGATACAATTGTTTGTTCTCGTATTATATTACAGATCAGTACAGCTGGCTTTACTTCTATTGAAGCTGTCACAATGTCAACACTATCTCCAGTGTTCTAAGTATTTCATTGCACATTACAATTTCTGTTCCTAATCCTGCAGTCAGTTCCCCCTTTTCTTCTTAATAATGCAAAAGAAGGAATCAAAGCCTGAGGTTTTGTGGTTTGTGGATTGTTTTTTCCTTGTATTTGAAATTCAGATCTTGTCTGTCCTCCTTTGGAAAGATGTATGAGAAATTCTTCACTGGAAGAATTGTAATTCATAGTTCAGCAACTGCCAGTAATGGTGTGGCTTCTCTGGTACTAAATTACTAGCACAGATAGAGCTCAAGCATTTTTATTATCGTACCATGGAAACCTCTTCTGAATCCTCATTAATTTAGCAGATATACTGTTGCTGCCATTGGGGCAGCTACACCACTGATGGGATTTCACAAGAATTCCCATCGTTCTAACATAGTGAACAGTGTTGGGAGTTCTACTGCAGACAAGCCATTGGCTACCATTGGAATTTGGGCACCAGGGAGATAAGCCATGCTCTGAGCAAGATCAGATGACACAGCTCTAATGAAAATGTTAATGGCTGACTATCACTGGGGCTTCCCACATTGCTTACAATGGTAGAAATGAATTAGTATTAACAATGCTGGAAAATTTCTGCAGTATTCCTTAGTAGTGTATTCAAGATTGGGTAACTAGTGAAACAATAACATCATAAAATACAAGTTTAGTAATTGAGAGGAGAGGAGAGGAGAAGTAAGTTTTTTAGTCAGTGTTTAAAATTGTTCATTTTACACACAACTTTTAAATTCAAAATTTTTAAAGACAAAAGACTTAAAAATTCTGGTTTCAATAATACCTAATGAACTTTGGGAGAAAGGAAATCTTTGTTGAAGTTGAGAGAGATGGGGAGAGAGAGACTTAAAATAAGAGCATACAATATATCTGCTATGAGCTATGTAGGAGGTACTCTAGGAAAAAAACCCAGACCACCCAGACTTGTTCTTTTTGATATCTCAGGGGTAAAAAACAAACTTGAGATGGGGGACCTTCACAACCTTCATTATAAAGAGAAAATAAATGAAAAACAGTGGGGGCACAGTCCAATTTTTGTAAGGTCACTTTTAATATTTGTAAAATGCACTGGATTCTTCAAAGGAAGGATGAGTCATACATGAAAGGTTTTACAATATTATAATCTCGGACCAGGACCTATTTTTGTTACATTCTGTACAAATGGTTAACAATAACAATAGATTCATTCTACTTGTTTTTTTAATTGAAGGTATAAGAATGCTGGATGGAATAGTCACTGATGCCATTGAAGCCAGTTCAATTGGTTTCAATCCAGACCATGTGGATATTTACAGTGCAAGCTGGGGCCCTAATGATGATGGTAAAACTGTAGAGGGACCTGGCAGGCTAGCACAGAAGGCTTTTGAATATGGGATCAAACAGGTGAGCCTTCTAACCGATAGTTAAGTTGAAATATAGCCCAGCTTGCAGGCAAAGACTGTATTTTAAAATATTTCTTGGGGGTGAGAAAATGGACCATTCTTTGTCTACTTCTTGCAGATTTGGGAAACGGAATAATTCTTTAGAGGGATGTTGATACAAAGGTTTAGCAAAATCTCCCAGCTGGACCTGACATATGAAAGCATTCTGACTGTGTTCTGCTTTCAAGGGGTTATTCTCGGCATACTAGCTTTCCTCCTTCTGCCTTCCTTTTGCTGCTTCTGTGCCTCCCTTCCCCCACCTCCTCTCTGTCTGCTTGTTTTGCTCTGAATAGTAATTGGATTTCTGCACAGAGGATCCTATAAAAATTTAATACAAAGTGTCCGTTTCACGAATATTTCATTTTGTAAAATGGTGATATATTTTAGCACTCCGTGGATGGGTTGTGTTACTATATTACTTGCACTATGTTAATTGCATTATGCATACCATGTTCCAATTAAAATAAAGATGGTAGGAATGTCTGCTGGAGAATGATGAAAGCAGCAGCTTTTAAACGCTCTTTTATGATATCCCTATAGACCTAGTTAGAAGGCAAGTGGTATTATGCTGAATGAGAACTGTTGGGTACACACACACACGGAGAAACAGAAACACACAGACACATAAACACTGTCCCTACGGAGATATCAAGCTATCTAAAGGTTATCTAGAGATAGTGTTGACAGGGGGGATGCAGCAGAGAGATAAATGGAGAGGAGAAAGCAAGCCTGAAGCAAATCTGGTGGAGCCACAGAAGAGGAGTCTGGAGAAAAGGGAAAGGTCAACAGCAGCAGAAAAAGGAACAGAAGAAGGGGGAGACTGACAATGGAGGGAAAGGCTAACCAATGTGAGAGGGGTTTCTAAGGGAGAGGTGAAAATAGGGAGGGAGAGGAATGGAGGTAGATGGAGATCTGAAAAGGGAGAAAGGAAAATTGAGTCCCACAGGGATGGGAAGGAAAGATGAACAGAAAGGGCCTTGGAAAGCATAAGGAACCAGTGTCTGAAATAAAGGGTTGGCCTAGGAAATCAGGAAATTTGCTTGGTGAAGAGGGCAGCATTTTTTCAAGGTTTATTTTATACCAAACTAACTCATTAAGGACCCATCCTGCCAACGTACTGAGTGCCTTGAACCACCTTTGAAATCAGTGACGGTGCATCTACATTGCAGGGCTTAACTTGAAATAACGTATGCAAATTGAGCTATGTCAATTGCTTATCTCATTTCAAAATAGCTTATTTTGAAATAGGGAGTGTATACACAGCACTTATTTCAAAATAGAGCACTCTTCCTCTGACTTCCCTTACCCCTCGTACAATGAGGGTTACAGGAGTCAGAGTAAGAAGTCGTCCAGCTTGACAGTATTTTGACACTATTTCAAAATAACTGCCTGCTGTGTAGACATGGACTAAGTTATTTCGGAATAGCACTAGTTATTTCGAAATAGTGTTGCAGTGTAGACATGCCCTTAGTGATGACAGTGTTCCGCTACCTTCAGAACCAGCCCCCTTGATCTGATCCAGCAAAGCAATTAAATATTTGTTTAATTATAAACCCCACAAAAATTCCTGCT